AAAGCAGGTGGTATTTCCGAATCACAAATCCTAAAAGAGGTCCTACAAGTGATGGGGGAGGGGGGAGCCCAAAGTATACAAATATTATGCAATCAAACTGTTGGGCTAAAAGATACACAGCACACTTATTTAACAAAGCTTGCTTTTCCATTTAAATAAGGTTCCAAAGGGCTGTAACACCCATCTATTAATCAAGAATTTAAACAAAACAACTTCTATAAGAGCAGATTAAAAGAGCTTGAAAAATCTGCAAACACAGAGAAAGGTTGCAGGGAAAAACCACCACGAGATAACATTGTAAGCTAGGCTTATTCAGAAGTGAATTTGTTACACAAACTAGAAACAATGATAAAGAATGTCCTAAGCATTATAAGTCTCAGACTTAGCTTGACAATCTTGATTATACAGTTGCTTCAGCAATAAAAAATGCACAGAGCTACCATATTATTAGCAACAAAAAGAACACTAAAGCCTAGCAAAGATACTTTTTAATTGAAGTCAGATCCATCAATCCCCATTAAGTACACAGAAGAACTATTGTGGTTTCTTTCCTTTTTTTAAGTTTTGGCCAGACAAACATACTTTTAATACTAAACTTGTTACATTTCTTTCCCCCACAGAGAAAATCTGGCTTTCCCTGCCTTTGCAATGAATTTAACAGATGTATTTGCTAGTGAATCGAATACTGATTCAGCCATCTGTCTTGCAGCTTCTCCCCTATACTTGAGAAAGGCTGTCAAACTTCTAAAATATTTCTTCAAGTACTGCCTGCAAGTTTATTGAAGTACGTTTCATTGCGACATTTGTTTTAAATGAACAAGTTGAAAAATGCCTCCAGAAACTGGGCTTGTGACTTCACAGACACTGGACAATCAGTGCTGTGCATGACAGTTTTTTTTTTCTTTTTTTCTATTTTTCTGAGACTGAACCTGGTTTCAACTGGGTTCACACAACTTGAAAACCCATCCCGGTCTGTTATACATACAGGGCTTGCAAGCTGTGTGAACTTGACCAATTTCCCCAAGTGGCTTGTTTGTGGGCAACAAACGTTATTTGTTTTTCGGCGCCAGGCGAAGACCTTTTTATTTAAACGTCATTTTAATTGTTAACAATATTTGCTTATTTATCTGGCCAGGGCGACTTCTTTTATATTGTTATTTATTTTATATTGTAGGTTTTATATTGTTATTTTTGTATTTTATTGTATTTTATTCTATGCTGTGAGCCTCCCCGAGGCTTCGGCAAGGGGTGGCATAGAAATGTTTTAATTAAATAATTAATTAATTAACAAGCCACCCCAAGACCCCAGGCACTGCTGTATGGGATGTTATCCTCACAATGGAGTGATCTGTCATCGGAACCTAGGCGACTGACTCTGATTTGTTTGTTTGTTTATTAAAAGCTTTTGTATGCCATCCTATTATACAAAATCTCAGGACGGCTTACAGTATTTAAAAAGACAATTAAAACGACAATTTCAATAAATAATAAAACAGAACAAAACAATAAATCACAAAACAAACAGAGCGACTACACTTTAAAACTATTAAAGTTTAAAATACTGTTTAAGTAAAAAGGTTTTGGCCTGGCGCGAAAAGAGTATAAACTTGGCACCAGGCATACCTCTGTAGGGAGTACATTCCAGAGTCTGGACGCCACAGCAGAGAAGGCCCTACTCCGAGCTGATGACCTTTTCACCTCTCTTAGAGAGGGTTCCTGGAGTAGGGCTTCTCCCATAGATCTTAAGGGGCATGGGAGCATATAAGGAAGGAGACGTTCCTTCAAGGATCGTGGTCCCAAGCCGTTTTACATAATATAGATAATTGTGTGCACTTTTTAGTATGCATTATGTTTTGATCCTGCCTTTTTCTTTTAAAGGAACTCAAGGCAGCCCGCACAGTTCTCCTCCTCTCAATCTTATCCTCACAACCACCTCCTCATGAGGTACGCGTAGGTGAGGCTAAGAGCCCGTGGCTGGCTCAGGTCACCCACTTTGCTCCATGGCCTCAAAGGCTATCACAAAAAGGAAGGTCAAGATGTCTTCTTACTAATGGCAGAATGTAGGACACAGAATAACCAATTCAAGCCGCGGCAACCCAGATTCAGGCTGGATATCAGGAAAAGCTGCCTCACTGTCAGAGCAACAGGACAGTGGAACCAGCTGCCTGGAGAGGTGGGGGGCTTTCCCACACTGGAGGCATTCAGAAAGAACCTGGACAGCCATCTGAGTGGGATGGTGTGACTTGGTGTCCTGCAACAGCAGGGGGCTGGACCCGATGGCCTTCATGGCCCCTTCCAACTCTTCTAGTCTATGATTCTGTGATTCTATGACTAAGTGGGGATGCTATGACTGAATGGGGGGCCCAGCCACATCTCCTGTGACTGGGTCCCCCATTCTTAACCCCTGCACCTCACTGGCAGTACTTTCCAGTACTTTCCAGAGATAAGCAACTGAGTTGTAGAAAAAGCAGAAGACAAAAACTCAAGGATCTTCCTGAATAGAAGTAAAATTACATAGTCCTGCTGACAAAGGGGGAGTTTTGCCAATTTATTATCATTAGTAGCAATATTTATATACTACTCATTTTAAAAAATACCAAAATAGTTTACAAAACGATCCATACAAAAACCATGATTGCATAACTATGATTCGATAGGATAATGAGGTGAGTTCAAATATAACTTATGACTAGGGAAAAGCAAAAGAAAATAGATGCAGTTTGTCAGTGCTGAGGCAATCTAGTGTGAGTCAAGTGGTCCAGGGTATTCTGGTATCACTGGGAACACGAAATAGGGAACAGGAAAACAGAACAAAACAAGGAGGGAAAGGCAAAAGGAAGGAGAAGAGAAGCTGGAGCAATAGTCTAGCAAAACTAGCAGTCCCATGAGTGCTGCAGCTGGCCCTCATCGTGACAGTTTCCAGGATTACGTCCCCAGTCACGTTTGGAAAAGTCCAAGGCAAAGTACAAAAGGGAAGACCAAATAGGAGATGGGTTGTATCCATTAGGGAAGCCACAGCCTAGAACTTGGAACCGTTGAACAGAGCTGGCGTGGACAGGACATTGTGGAGAGATTTCATTCATGAGGTCACCATAAGTCAGAGGTGACTTCATGGCACACAACAGCAACATGCATCCAAAACTGAGAGTCCAAAACTGTAAGTAGCTGTTTTAGCCTGTATCTACAGTATGCGTGTCATATGAGTGCATTGCCCAGCACACAACAATATATAGTTGCTGGAGAAATCCACTCTTCCACCTACTCCATCCCACCTACTTTGTGAGGATTGCTTTGAAGCTCAGACGGCGCAGGGGACTTTGAGGGGTACGATGTCGCCATTCCTGCTCATAAAAAAGTCTTAGTACTTCAACCCTGTGAGCCCTGACTCCACTACACCAATATCATCCAAAGGAGGGGGAAAGTGGAAGCAACAAAACATACAGAGTGAACCTCTGATACAAAACAGGTATATTAGACCTTTGTCATTCTGGAACCAACCCAGAAATGAACACTAGAACTTTTCAACCTTGCAAACTTCTTAGAATCTTCCTAACAAAAGATAGCAAATGCCCTGCCATTGTCTTTCACTGTTACACAGCATTCAGAATTCACATTCATTCCTTATGCACAACATTTCTAAACATTTTAATTTCCAGAGGTTGACCACCTGCTGTACCACATGCCAGTGGTCTTCTCAGGCACTTATCAAATATGTTTCCCTCAGTTTTATCACTGGTCTGGGCGCCAAAGTCTCACACTGGCTGTCCCTGCATTGAAAGTCACAAGGTGCTTGCACGCAGCTGCCCCATGTTTTGGTCCATTCAGGTGCTTGCTGCATTCAGTCGATTCCGTATTCTTAGCAGGGCCAGCTTAACGGCAAGAGCAGGAGTGTGCAAACTGGCAGCACTCAAGTTCACCAAAGTTCTCTGACTTCCATCTTGAAGCTTATTCCAGCCCAGCTCCATACTAGATTGTGAGTGTTGTTCTTTTTCCTTTCTGCATGGAAATCCATCTGTATTTTTGTGTATGCGTTTTCAAATGAACATAACAGCAGCACACATCTTTAAAATGTACACATCCATTTTGCACAGTGTATTTGTACAATTTTTCCCTTTCAAAACTGCATTTTTCATGCACACTTTTCCCAATGTACCCATGTTGTCCAACACATAGGGGCGGAGTTCATGAATCAGAGCTCTCCCTTCTATGTACATCTTAGTGACACTGAAAAGATCCAGAGCTCCGGGCCACAAGACCAAATCTCCCCGCCCACAAATATGCGGATGCTAAGTTACATATAAGGGCGGGATATTAAAGCTTTACATAAATAAAGTTCTAAAGTCTCTGTGTTTCCTGCTCTCTCTGTGTGCGTCTTTAAAGTATCCTGGCTCCTGTGGACGCCCTATTTCTAAAGGGGATGCATGAAACGAAGGGAGAAAGGCATTTGATTTCGGGGCGCGGGGGGGGGGAACCTCCAAGCAAAGAGGTTCAAGAGGGGAGCAGCAGGAATGCGAGACCACGCGTCCAAAACGTCAGCTTAATCCAGGGAGCGAACGCAGGTCCCCCGCGCCTGTATTTCAGCAGGAGCCCGTGGACAACAAGTTACGGGCCGCGATCGGGGTTCCAGCCCTTGCAGGCCATTCGTGAACACCGCCCCTGCTTCGGTGTCTCCCCGCAGCTCCTCCCCGCTGCGCAGACACGCGCCCCACCGCCTCGCCGCTCCGACCACCGCTTGCATTGTGTTTCTTCAGCTTTGTTCCTCCCCGCCCGCCCACCACCCTCGCTCGGCCCCGACTGCGCCCGCTGATTGGCCGCTTCTTTTCCGGCGGTGGGAGGGGGCGTGGCTACCATGGAATGCTGAGAGTTGAGCGTTCCAGAACCGGACGGTCTGGCTTCCGCGGCGCCGCGCTGATTGGCTCGCTGCTCGACGGAAGGGGGAGGGAATGGAATGTTGGGGAGTCTGAGCGTTCCGGAGATACTTTACTTTATTCCTCCCGTCTCCATCTCCTCCTCCTCCTCCTCCAGCGACCCAACGAGAAGGCGGCGCTTGGTGCGAAGAAAAAGCAGGGAGAAGAGTCTGTTCTAGAGCGCGATCGCGTGCCTGGTCCTAGTCAGAAGCCCCATTGAGCTCAGTGGGTCTTGCTTCCAGTAAGTGTAGCTCCGGATTAAAGGGAGGGGAGTTTGGAAGTGCACCAAGGACTGCTACTCCCGCTCCCCAGCGAAGGCCCTTAAAGCGAGGAGACAGATTCCAAGGAGCCGGGAGGGAATCCGACCGGGAGAGGAAGCACGATAGTCACGAGGAGGTACATTCATCGTGTTGCTCTTGTTTGGTTCATCGTAGTCGGGCAGGGTGAGGAGGAGGAGGAGGAGGAGAGGGGTGTCCGCTGCGGGGCTTACATTTCAGAGTCTATAAACTTTGCCAGATAGTTGCGAAACTTCAGTTCAGACTTTCCCCGAAACTTCATCCTGAACTCTTTCCCCACTCTCCTTCCCTTTCGCTGTATTGGCTCATGAAATTTATCGCAGAGGCTTCAGGATCAAGAATTGCGCTTGCAGAATTCTCGTAGAATCAGCCTTTCTCTCGCAGAAGAGAGAAAATGTTTGTGAGAGAGAGAAAGAGAGCGAGAGATGGAGGGACGCGCGCGGGAAGCTGTGCCTGTGTCATCTTTTAGGATTATCTGCATTTGTGAATCTTGGAAGGGAGCTGCCCGGCATAAAAGTGTTTGCATATCTTACTACATTTCTTTGCCACCCTTTCGTGCCCGCCGAGGATTGCTAGTCATGCAGCTGACAAAGCAGACTGACTCCCCAGAGGCTCAGGCCGCAAAAAGTTAGTCATTAAGGAGCCACGACTTCGTTGCTTTTCTTGCAAGGCGTTCTAAGTGGCAGCAAAGCTTCCTTCCATTGTATCCTGAGAACAACTCTGTAAGGCATGTGAGACAGTGGTGAACTCCAACCGGCTTTTGATCTACAGAAAAGAAAAGTATTCTGTCCCATTCCTAAAGGATGCTGGAGGATTTCCTCAAAAGCTCAAGGGGTGCCTGATTTAGCAAGAGCTGTTGCTTATTTAGTAGGAACTCCCTGAATTTCCTCCAAAGCACTCAGCCAGTTTAAGGAACAGTGAAACCAAGAAAGTTCCTGTCGTGGGAGTGACGCATCAGCAAGGTGATTAAAAGTCAAGGCTGAGTCAGCTGCCCGCACCAAAAAGTAGGTGACAGGAATCTTGATGCAACCCCAAATTCATAATGAGCACCTCTGTTTATGGCAAGAGCACTGGAACATGAGAGAAAGCTCCAAAAATTAGGCCCCATGTGAAGCTGTTCTCCATTCAGTAGGGTTGCCAGATTGGAGATTTACCAACATGCAGGATGCAGGTTGCTGCCCCTGCTGATTGCCAGCATCTGTGACACATGGAGAACAATTTTAACGGAGGCTAAGGTAGACTGCACCACCCTTTGTGGGTCCTACTTCTGTGTCTTTTCTGGTGGCCAGAGTCAGTTTAGTCCAGGGCAGCTTTTTCAGCACTTAACTTTATGCCAAGAAAAACTTAACTGTGGCAGAAGGCCTGTTTTCTCAACTGCATTGGCGGAGAATATTATTATTATTATTATTATTATTATTATTATTATTATTATTATTATTATTATTATGTGTCTTGCTCCCCACTGTAAAAAGCACTCTCAAATTGACATACATACACAAATATGGAAATCCAGAAGTAATAAGATGAGAATAAACTCATCCCCAAATCAGTATAAAGCATAAGAGCAGAAGTATTAACAAAAATAATAAAAACATACTCTAAACCAGAACAAGAAAAACACATTTGGGAAAATAAGCATGCCTTTGCCCAGCATCAGAAAGATGTCAGTGTCACAGTGCTGAGGGAATTGTAATTGTGGCTCTATGGGCCATCAAAATCATAGAAGAGCAGAGTTAGAAGGGGTCAAGAAGACCATCAAGTCCAGCCCGTTGCAGGGCGCCAATTTACCCCATCTCAAAGACCAGATGCATGCGAGGTGAGAAATGGGATTGCCATGCTGAGGTTGCTGTTGATAGCAGAAGCAAGGACGTTCAAGAACCCTTCATCCAATCTGTGTTGGTGTCAGGTGGGAATGGATGGGACAGAGCAAGCTTTGCTCCTTGTCCACCCTCTGCTGAAGTCAAGCCAGCTCTTGCTCCTGCTGTTGTTTAATTTGGGGCTGTTATTTGAATTAGCTGCCAGTGAGGCCTTTTGGAACAGTTTCAATGGGGTGAGGATGGTAAGACGATTTTCTGGAGTGCAGTGATTCAGGTGTTAGCAAAACAGGCCTTATGTCAGTTCTGCAGCCTGCATAGGACCCGCTGCATCCAGAGCTGCTTGCAACATCCTTTCTTCTTATTTTTAAAAAACATTTTACAGTTAAGGGACAGCCAGCCATGTATGTACTTAGTGATCAGTGCTTCTTTTATTCTTTGTACTTCTTTTGAAACATATTTTGCAACAAAAGAGGCATATTTCCAGCTAAGGACACAGTCCTTTGAGTTTTGAAAGAGAATACAGTCCAGCTCCCAGCATCCACCAGCCAGCCATGAAGTCATCGGATCACACCCTCAAAGTCTGTGGTCAACTTTGCGGCTTCGTTGTGTCCCTGTTAATCATGAAAGTTTAAGTGATTTTAAAATTCAAAGCTGCACATGCTCAAAGTTTCTTTTTTAAATCAGGTCCAGCAAACGGTTAGAATTTAGCATACCAGAATGTGGACACAGTTGTGCAGTACAGAACTTGCACTGGCGACTAACACAGAAGGAAATGTCAATTATCCACTTACCAACTGAAGAGATATTTCTGAATAAGACCATTAAGTCCAGGTATTAAAATGCTCCAGCTGCTCTGCTGTATAAAATGGGTAACTAGCTCCAGAGCAATTCTAGGCCTGGCATTAGCGGTGGATCCCATCACCTTTGGGCACAATTCCATTTCCCCTTGGATGGATCCCAAGGAGTTTCTTCCGAAACTCGTGACGGTACACACAGAAAGTAGGGATTCCACCCCAGTGGGTGACGGAATTATGCTCTTAGTCATTGGCCCCACACAGGAAATTTAAGCTTGGGTTCTTCTTCTTGACTCATCCAATTTCTGAACTAGTGCCAAACCACCCTTTTTTGGAATTAATTCAAGAAATCTTTCGGGAGTTGCGCAAGAAGAGGATTTGAAGAGTCGGTGCAGATAAAGTTTCTAATTTTGGTTCATGCATAATGAAGGTCATCAGGTTGTGATTCCTCATCAATCAAGAGCAGAAATGTGATGCCCCAGAAAAAATGTCAGAAAAAAACTGATTATTTTTCCACAAAAATCTTCCTGGTGGTTCCCATGGAGAAATACACAATCCTGAACAAGGGTGTAAAATAAAAACTGTGGGTGCTGGGCAGAGAACCCAACATCCTGTGAATCTGCTTAGTTTTCTTTTTAATGACATGTTTCTGACTTGAAAAATGCATGGATCGTTTCTGAGGATATCTCAAGGGCTAAGAAGGGTCTCTGGACTGGTTGTTGTGGCCTCCTTTGGCTATAGAATAACAGTATGATCCCATAGAGGTCTGCATGGAAGTAATGCTTATTGAGTCTAGTGGGACTTACTCTCAAGTAAATGGGCACAGAACTCCATCCTAAACAAATAACACGGGCACCTGATTAGCATCAGTCATACAGGCAGCAAAATTCAAATGATCTTGGAATAGGATATCGAAGTTGGTTTTGGTAGAGACTATGATTTCCCAAGTCTCTCTGAGTATTTTGACTTTATAAGAGCGTAAAACATCATGGAGTTTTGGCCCAGCGTAACACACTGATGACTCAGCCTTGGCTTGAATGGCATGTAGCATTGCTACATTTTGCATTATTGTCCTTTCCTTCGGACAAGGAGTTTTGTGGAGTAGCCACTGAGAATGGCTGAGCATGATGGGAGTTGTAGCTGAACTCATCACTGTGCTAGCTTCCAGCCTCTGCCAGCCAAATCCATTAGACGGTCAGCACATGTCATTTTGCGGTCGCTTGGTGAGTAGACCAGGTTGCGTCCTAGCAACTGAAAAGCCAAATCCCATTGAGTCCAGTAGGGAGAGACTGACAGGTAACTGGTTACAAGATTGCCATCTGAGAGGCTGTGGGGTAAAATAAAACAGGTTGTTCTAAATTGCCTTAGATCAGAACACACCAGGTTGGTTGTTTATTTAGTTATTACGTTTCCACACTGCCTCCCTGGGGGGGTTCACAAAATTGAAAGATACAATAATTAATATAAAACAGTCATTATGAAATCGCAATGATACAATTAATATAAAATGAACAAGGATTTGTGAACATCTTGCAAGAAACTTGAGGTTTCAAAAGCTTTGGTCATCTTGACATTAGCCTAACAAAAGTACTAACTTAGTGTATTTAAGATTTTTTTGTGGCCAGTAGTTCTCCTTTTGGGTTTTTGAATCTCTTTCCTGCCCCCCCCCCCCCCCCCCCCACCCAGCCCTTCCTGTATCTGGATTTTCCACTAATTCGTGGTATTTAAAACTGCATTTGATTTTAGTTTCTCTCTGAAATCAGAGATTCTCCTGATTCTTGTGTTAACTGTGAGTTGACTAGGCTAGCCATTCCAGGAAGATCTCCTTTTTCAGTTTCTCCTTTTACCAATTATTTTTTCTACTGCATGAAATTGCACAGTAGTTTCATCCAACAGTGTGACTTTATTCCATGCCCCTGAAAGCTGCCTTTCCACGTAAGGGGTTTAGGGATTTACCTTGTTTCAGATAACTACCAAAAGTTGTGCAAAACCTACTTGGGCGGGCGGGGGGGGGGGGACCTTGCAATTTAAAGAATCTGAATGCAGCAGAAAGTGAAACTGGATCTTAGTGAATTAGATCCTTAAGCATCGAATGCAAAGGATTTTCATCCTTTGCTAGCACCAGAGCATACAATTCATGCCCTAGCATATAATGCTCAAAACAATTGTCCTATGAGGGAGAAGTCTACAGAAGATATACCATGCAACAAATTGGCCCATGGATTCTGTGGTAAAGGTTCCTGCAATCCTCCCGCGAGGAGCTCTCGTGACAACTGCCTCCCTCTAATAACCATGAAAGGTTGGCTCCTGCAGCTTAATTGGAGTATTTCTACCATATGTTCCTACTTCAAACAGCTATGGAGATGCTGTGAGTTTGGTTTTCCTCCAAATGGCATTCATGTGTCTATCTCCCTTAGCTTCAGAACGCGCAGAAGCCATCCTATCATGCTTATAATGGCATACTTGAAATGACTTTCTGGTGGGCTTTCCCCCCATTTGAAATATCTAGTCCCCACCCCCAGTGATGGCAGGGAAATCAGTCACGGCAACGAACCTGATCCTCAGGGTGGCCCGATGTCTGCGTGCTGGACTGTGCCACTGTGCAGAAGCGGCGCTGGTGGAGATCTCACGATCCTTCCAGGTGCTCGGCTATCCCATTCGCTTAGAAATTGCCATGTTCCTACCAGCATGTCAAGAAGAAAGCAGCATGTAAAAAATTGCCTTCAGGTGAGAGGGCAAAGTACATTTGGAAGCATGGAGGAGTATTACTTCTTTCTGCGCCTTCTCCCTCACACCTCCTCCGTACAAATAGCACATCGATGTAGTTGCATGTGGACTAGTGTCTTGGGTTAAGTGGCATGGCCGATAAGCATTTCTGGGGTGACCGCTCTTCTCTGCCAGTAGTAATGTGTGGTCCAAAGGGGTATTGCCAGGCATGGGCATGTGGCATTTCAGCCCCAAATATATTCCCCAGAGCCCTAAAGGGCCACTGGTGACATGATGCTGATGATAAATGAACTGGCTGGCTTTGCCTCCTGTGAAATGTAGATAAATACTTGAAATTATTTCTTTTTGCATCGATTTAAATCAACGCATGCAAGTTTTATGCAGGTTTCTGTCCTATGGGTCTTTTAAGTTCCTCGTAACACCCTGGAGGTCCCTATAGAGTAAGCCAGCTTTCCCCAACCCAATGCTTTCAAGTGTGCTGGGATGCCCACCTGGGAATTGTGGTCCCATTCAGATGGGGACATCTGTGTTATGTCAGAAGCAAGCAGAGAATGGACCGCTAGGTGTTTTGGACTTCATCTACCAGCATGCCTGGCTATTGGCTATGCAGCAGGCATTTCTGGGAGCCGAAATGCAGAATATCAGAACATCCACTTTCCACCCATCCCTGGCCACTTCCACTCTTTCTATGACCCTATTCAGTGGGCCCAAACTGTGCAATCTGGAATGATGACGAAACTTTTGCCAAATGTAATTTGGGTTTGTTCCAGCTCATTTCCAGGGTATGAAGAGTTTCCACACTTGTCAGAGCAATACAACAGTGGAACCAGCTGCCTGGAGAGGTGGTGGGCTCTCCCACACTGGAGACATTCAAAAGAAACTGGACAGCTATCTGAGTGGGATGGTGTGACTTGGTGTCTGCAACAGCCGGGGGTTGGACCCCGTGGCCTTCATGGCCCCTTCCAATTCCTCTGTTCTATGATTTTTCTCACTGCAAAGACATTTTGACTGGATGTCGTTGATCCTTCTTGAGAAATGAAGTAAGATCGCTCTTCAGCAGTGGTAGCTGGCAAGACTTTGAGCCAGAGCTGACAAACCACATCAAAATGACTGTGTAAACGCGTCGTTGCTTGCACCTTCTTTTTGTTTCCTTTCACTATTATGTCTTCATGTAATGCAACTGTCCGGAAGGGAGTGTGATGCTGCCATTCATTGCAAAGTAGTAAACTTCACCCTGGTGTTACTTAAATGCTTGTTTTGCATTGTCACTGAAGAAAAGGAACTTGGCCCTGTTCTGACACTTGGAAGGTTGGCGTTTTTTTCCCCTGAAGGGACCACTATGTTCACTGTTGCATGTACATGCAAGAGAGACACGTGTGCTATCTGAACTTCTGCTTACCTTTGTGTAAAAGGAAACAGTGACTCGTTTTCTCCATATATCATGATGGTTTTTGCCTGTAACTAACCCCATCAAGCAGTTCTCTAATAAACCCAGGCAGAATTCTGAGAGTATGTAAACCACTGTTGCAGAAACACAATCCTCAGAGCCAAACAATCCTCTGTCCTGGGGCCGATCCTGTTTAATCTTTTCATTAACGGCATGGAAGAAGGCGTGAACAGTCTGCTGATCAAATTCGCAGACGACACTAAAACTGGAGCAGTGGCCACAACTGAGGAGCAGGTACTCCAGATCCAAAAGGATCTGGACAGACTATGGAAGTGGGCAGGAGACAACAGGATGGCGTTCAATGTGGATAAGTGCAAGGGCTTGCACTTGGGGCACAGGAATAGCTGTCATAAGTACAGGTTAGGGGACAAGTGGCTGGAGAGCAGCACTTGTGAAAGGGACCTCGGGGTGCTGGTTGACTGCAGGCTAAACATGAGTCAGCAGTGTGATGCGGTGGTTAAGAGGGCGAATGCCACCCTTGGCTGCATAGCCAGAAGTGTGGCTTCTAGATCAAGGGAGGTATTACTACCACTCTACACGACTCTAGTGTGCCCACAACTGGAGCATGGTGCTCAGTTTTGGGCCCCTCATTACAGAAAGGATATAGCCAGGTTGGAGTCAGTGCAGTGTAGGGCCACAAGGTTGGTGGCCAGTTTGTGGGGGATGCCGAATGAGGCGAGACTGAGGGAACTGGGTCTCTTCAGCCTGGAGAAGAGGAGACTCAGAGGGGATCTGTTGGCAACATACAGGTATGTGAGGGGGTGTCACACGGAAATGGGTAGAGACCTGTTCTCCCCTGCAGAGGAAGGCAGGACGTGCTCCAATGGAGCAAAGCTCAGGGAGCCAAGGTTCCATTTGGATGCCAGGAAGCACTTCCTGACAGTCAGGACCCTGAGGGTGTGGAATGGGCCTCCACGAGAGGTCGTTGAGGCCCCATCGGTGCGGGTGTTCAAGGAT